CCCAAGTGCTGGGGTTAAAGGCGTTCACCACCACTGCCCGGCACTTTTGAGATCTTTCAGTGAGTTGGAATTATCCAGCTAATGAGAGCCACAGTCTTCTGGGAATCAGCCTGTATGTCTCCAGCAGGGCCCCAGACAGCAGGCTTCCTGCCTGCTTCCTCTCCCCATATAACCCTTGACTCTGAAGAGAGATGGTTCTTGAGTCTGAAGTTAACCTGGAGACCAACAAGAAAGCATTGGTCCCAAAGCTCCTCTATGTTCCCTTCTCTTTTGACTTGTAGTATTGATCAGATAGACATAGAAGCTAGGGTTCACTTGTCCTTTGACCCTTGACTTTGGGGTAAGACAAGTACAGTGGTCTGAAAGTTCTAAGAGGGAGAAAACCTGCTTTAAGCTTTAAAACCGGCCTGGCCTTTGGCAAGCCAGGCCAAGAGTCCAGACTGTCATCCACTGTTCTCCCGTCTCTTTGTTTCCAAGGGAATCCTGGCAACGCCAACACATCTTATGGAGGGCTGTATGAATCAGGTCATCTCAGTTATTACATCCAGATCTAGTTGCCTTTATCTGACATCCCCTCTGTCTGTCCCCACCCCACCAACAGGACCAGTGGCTAGCTGGAGGACATCTGGTAAGATCACTGGGGAAATTTGAGACCAAGCAGCCATCTGATAGATAGGCTTCTGCAAATTTTGGAAGATGATGGAGGAAGGAGGCCATGACCTGAACTAAGAGATGCTACAGTGGTCCCTGTCACCCAGACCTCTGAATGTACCGACTGAGAAGATCCATAAGTCCTTCCTATAAAATGTACAATGCCTATAGTATCCAAACAATTGCTGTTCTGGATTGTGTAGGCATCACAACAAGGAAAGATGCCTGTTCCTTTTTGGTTTGGGATTGGTTGAGTTCATGAGCATAGAACCTTTGAATACAGAGGGTCTGTGGCATCTGGTAGTGTCTGTGTGACACTGTGGTTGATGGAGGCATCTTAGCCAAGCATTCTTGGACCCTATGTAAGAAATGAGGAGATACTGGTAGGTTTCATGAGACCTTGCAAATATATCAGAAAGGAACCGAGACTCTACCCCAATGATGGCGGGTTGTTTCTCAAACAGCTGGAATTTGAGAAGGAGCCTGAGCAAGGTGGAAGGTTCAGAGAAGATGAGTGTAGGTCCTGGCTGTGGCTGAGGTCAGGTATGACCACAGTAAACTGGATCACAAAAGTGTCAGTGGAAGGGAAGAGAAACGGGTGGAGCCTGCCCCCAGAGTAAGCCAAGAAGCCAGGTAGAAAAGGGGGAAGGCTTCCCCAAAGGTGCCTGCTCGCCTCTGCCAGGCAGGTTTCTGCTGGCTGTCGGGAGAAATTTTCAAACACAAAACCCTTGTCTGTGCTGCAGATGGAGACTGCATGTTCGTGAGCCTGACCCCACGGGTAATTAGGGAGCAATTAAGCCCGACTCGCTAGACAAAATCTGGTTCCTGTGAACTAAAATGGATTTGAAGTGGATGGCAGTGATTAAGCCCAGGCTTGTGGCAATACTCTGGCAGAGCTATTACGGCTGCAGGAAAACATGATCTGACCAAGGGAGAGGAGAGCTAATCAGAAAAAGAAAATGCTGGGAGTCCTGTGATGGGCTGATAGTGAAGACGAGTAAGTGGAACCATGCCTTGACGCCTCAGCAAGATGATTCTAGATAAGCAAACACCACAGAGAACATTCAAAGAGCGGGCGTGGAGATGACAAGGTGTCTGCTGACTGTACAGCCAGGGGCCACAAGTGCCAGCTTGCCCTTACTGAGTGATTAGATAGAAATCTTGCAAGCTTTGGGGCACAGGAGGACTGTAGCTGGTCGTGACGTGTCCTTTGGGGCGTCCTTGCCCTGTTTCTGCCTGGTTTCTCTTACTTTGGAGGCAGGACCCGCCCATTTCTCTTGCTTAATTCAGGCACAGAATGGTTAGATTTTTTTTCTTGAACCTTGTCTTCTAACTATGTGTGATTTATTTAGCACCATCCATCCAACCATTTTTTTTGCCTTGTCCAGCATGCCTCAGCCACATGCTTTGCTCCGTGCTTTACTTGGGCTAGTTGAGCCTTACTATCTGTGAAACAGAGAGCAAGTAACTCACTGAGATGTCTTATGAAGCCTGAAACCACTGTGTGGGGACTTTTTTTTTTTTTTAAGATTGATTTTATGCATGTGAGTATACTGTAGCTGTCTTCGGATACACCAGAAGAGAGCATCAGATCCCATTACAGATGGTTGTGAGCCACTATGTGGTTGCTGGGAATTGAACCCAGGACTTCAGGAAGAAGAGTCAGTGCTTTTAACTGCTGAGCCATCTCTCCAGCCCCCATGTGTGTGGGGACTTTTGAGCTGTGTGCCCACTACTCTTCCGATGAGCCAGTATGGAGTAGAGACTGCTGCTTGAGTCACATGCAGTAGTGACAGTTGGAGCCAACACAAAGATCTTTCTACCTTACTCCCTGGCTCAGAAAAGACGACCATGTTTCTGGGCGTGATGGCTCACACCTTTAATTCCAGCACTCAGGAGTCAAAGACTGGTGGATCTCTTGAGTTGGAGGCTAGCCTAGTCTACATACTGAGTTTCAGGCCAGCCAGGGCTACACAGTGACACCTTCTCACTGCTCAGATAAGAGGAAGGGCAGATACTGCTGCTCATTTAGTTAAGTCCAAGGCATGTTTTCAGATAAAGCCTTGTGTTCAATTTCCAGCTGTTAATGGGATAAACGGGATCACACACTGAAGATTTCCTAGGGCAGACCACAGCTGAGAGTATATGGTCCTGCATTTACCAGACGTTCTCATTCTTAGCACATTATATATCTGAATTTTGTTTAGAAACATAAAAAGGTTGGATTCTGTTTGGAGAAATGGACCAGTGGTTAGGAGCACTGTCTGCCCTTCCAGACAACAAACATTCAGTTCCCAGCACCCACATGGTGGTTCAGAACCCTCTAACCAGAGTAGCTGCCGCCCTCTTCTGGCCTTGGTGGGCACTGCATGCACACACGATGCACAGATGCACAGAACAGGCAAAGCACCCATACTAATAAAATAATAAAAATTTCAAAATGACTGAATTCTGTGTCAATCTTCCCTGGTTCCCAGAAAGCCCTTCTTCCTCAGCTATTCTCTCCTGTGTGAGAGTTCAATGCCACCTGATCTAGAGTTATTTTGTGAAGTACAAAACTTTGGTCCTTTATGTTTGTTGTGCTAAATAGCAAATTCCCCTCTTACTTAGTGGTCTAAACCAACACACATTTCTTCTTCTTTTTGCAACATGTGTTTACTTTCTTGTGTTTGGTTTGGTGTTTTGTTTTTGAAATGGCGCCTCTCTCTGTAGCCCTTATAGAACTGGAACTGGAACTTATAGAGATCCTCCTGCCTCCACCTTCCAAGTGACGGGATTTAAGGCATTCATCACTATGCCCAGCCCCAGAAGCAGAACTTTTAATCACACAGTTTCTGTGGGTCAGGAGTCTGGGCACAGCTATTCTGGTTTTTCTACTTGGTGTCTCTCTTAGGCTGCAATGGAGAAATGGGCCAGTGTTGTGGTAAATCTCCAACCCTAACAGGCCCATGCAAAAAACCCACACAACTCTGTTACAATATTTATAAATTGTACACTTAGATTTGGCAGGTTTACAACTACACCACTCCATTCCCCAGCTATGACACCCCTCGCTACTTGGGGCTTCTCCGGGCCACGTGGCTCTGCTCCACCCTCCTTCCACCTCCTTCTCTTCTTCTCCCCCATTTCCTATTCTTCCTTCACTTTCTAAAACCTCCAACCCCACCTTTTCCTTCCACTGTCCAATCACAGGCTCGAGCCTTCATTTGACCAGTTAACATGGGGAGAAGGTTCACATGAAATCACCTGAGTAACGTGATCTACTCTTCATCGGGGCAGACCTTCCAACCCAGGTGGCACATATTGAAAACCCTTTTCCTCTCACCACACCACAGCCCATAACTGAGGAAGAACTTTCTTTCCAATCCACTATATGGCCACTTCTTCTTTAGTATCATATTTATGCTCTCAAGCACTGGGTCAAAAAATGATCACTGTGATTCTTCTAATCACAGGCAATGTTAGAGCTGGAAGGAGCTGCTTCTAGAAGGAACTTCTTCCTCAGTTATGGGCTGTGGTGTGGTGAGAGGGTTGGAAGGTCTTGATGGAATAAACAGAGACAGGGGGCTATTTGAAATAGTTTGGGGGAAAGAATAACCCCTGAATAGCAGAATTCTCCTCATGGAGTTGAAGGTGAACTGAAGTCTCCCTGAATAGCCCCTTTCTGATGGAAACCATGACTCACCCTGGAAACCATGTTGGGTTCAGAATTCAAGAATGAAAAAGATCTCCAGTCACTTTTGTGATAAACAAAGTCATGGGATGAAGGCTAATAAATGAAATTCACTAGCTAGAATAGAGATGCAACAGTTCTAGCTAGCTTTTTGTTTGTTTGGTTGGTTTCGTTTTTTGAGACAGTGTTTAGCCTTGGATGTCCTAGAATTTACTTTGTAGGCCAAGTTGGCTTTGAATTCAGAGATTCACCTGTTCCTGCCTCCCATGCTTGGGATTAAAGCCATGCACTATCATAGCTGGCTTAGTTCTGTCTGTGTTAATCTTTAGCTTCCCTCATGACTCACAATCCCGCTATCCCCCATCCCCACCCCCGGGACTGGGAAGTTTGGGTCTGCTAAGAGCCTGAATCCTAGCTGGGACCCATATTGTCTAACCAGGGTTATTTACTAAGAGGAGAAAAAGAAGATTATGCAAAGTCCAGGCTGCTTGACTGAGACCAGTCCTTAGAAAACAACAGTCATAGTCAGAATCTTCTAGAAGCTGATCTTCAGAGACAAGGAGAGACAGGAGACTGGAGCTGGAAGAGAGTGTCCACTGATGAGGTAGAGCAAACAAGAGAGTGAGAAAGGGGCAGAGGGACCTGAACCAAGTAAGAGCCGGCCAGCAATCCGCACATGCGCATGGGGCATGAATTCAAGGAGCAGAGGGAGCGTGAGCATGAGATCCAATAGCGATCCACAGAGAATGACCTGTCAACAAGTGCTGAGACCCCTGTCGTTCTCCAGTCGATCCTTTTTCATGTGGATTAGTTTGACCGGAATAAAGTACATTCATTCTAAGCTTCTTCAGTAAAGATATTCATTTTTTTAAAAAAAGGCTTTAAGATTTCCCATGGTTATCTTCATCCAACTAACGGAAAGATCGGTTCAGCCCTTCCTAGATGCACACCACTTTGTTAGGAAAGAGTCAAAGAGGTTATTTTTCAGTCTCTGCCATTACAGAGATTGAATCAAGATGAGGGAAAGAGGAAATCCTACACCTGAAAATAGCCCCAAATACTAGAGGACTCAGTGATACAAAAAGAAAGTTGACAAAACACCAACCAGCACAATTGCTGTCAGAAATTAAGGTTTAATTATTGGTTCTGGTTAAGTTCTGGGCTTTGGAATTTTGAAAAAAAAATTCCACGTAACTCGAAGGAGCAGATAAGCTTCGGATCCACCATGTCCTGAGGCTGGTGGCAGGATACAGAGGGCAAAACTGGAATGCGAAGAACAGGTCACCTTAAGTCATGTCTGGTTGATTTTTGGGACGTTTAAGCAGGGCTTCCTGTTTCCCTAAGACACGAACCCGGAGCCCAGAGCCTGGCTGCCCTTTGAAGAAGCAGAGTCCTCGATGCGCATGTGCAGCCAAGGCTCTCTTAGCCAAGCCTCTCTGAACATGCGCAGTCGTGGTGCGTGTGGGCTTAAGGGGCGGGACCCTGGAGCCTTTGCGGTCCTTGTTCCCGGAAGTGTGAGTCTCGGGGCGCCGGTAGCTTCTGTCCGGCGTTCCCGGGGAGGCACGTGGCTGACTCGCCTCGGCCCGGGCGCGGTCGCGTCGCCCTGGAGCCGCGGGTGTCGGTCGCGGAGGCGGTGTCGTCCCTGACCATCTCGGACGCGTTCGTCGGGGCCTGTGAGGGCCCCGCCCCGCCGCGCCCCGCGCTCCCCAGCAGGTTCATCTGCTCCTTTCCCGACTGCAGCGCCAGTTACAACAAAGCCTGGAAGCTAGACGCGCACCTGTGCAAGCACACGGGGGAGGTAACCTGGTAGCGGGTGTGCATGGCGGAGCCCGGCGCAGGGACTGCCTCCTGGGCTTGGCCCGGGGCAGGCGCTCTGCAAAGACTGAGGTCTAGGACGTCACGGTTTCTTGCAAGCAACAAGTGTGCACCCTTTTAATTGCAGGCAGGCTTTGGTCAGGTACCAAGGCTGTGTGGATAAGGGTGGTCAGGAAAAGCCTTCCTGTTTGGCTCTTTTCCCAGACTCCTTTTTGGTTTTGTGCACCCTGGTCTCTCTCTTGGCAGACTTTCCAACCCATTTCCATCCCTCATAACATCATCCTTTGTGACTTTGCTCATCTTTCTCCTTGACCATTCTGTTCCCACATTTTGGCCTTTCTTTGTCCCAGTGTCCGAGTCAGAGTTTGCTTTCTAGACCAGAACGCTGCACTTTAGTTGGATACTTCAAGTTGTGGTTTATCATCATCATTATCATCATTGGTTGTTTTGAAACGGAGGTTTCCTCTCTGTAGCCCTGGCTGTCCTGGAACTCACTCTGTAGACCTGGCCTCAAACTCAGAGATCCACCTGCCTCAGCCTCCAAAATGTTAGTATTAAAGGCGTGCGCCACCACACATGGCTTTGGAATTGTGTTTATTGTTCCAAACTCGACAATAATTTGACTAGTACCAGTTCTACTCTTGGACTGGATCTGAACAAGGTTCTTTAAGTCTATGCTGAGCAGTGTGGCTCGCTTGTATCATCCTGTCTGCTGCCTGTCTAGTACTGTGACTGAAGTCTTAATGCCACCTTCCTGGATTTCAGAGTATTTCCGTAGTTAGGAAATACCCAACTGGATGTTAGGATATGTATGATACAGTTTTACTGTGTATTCCCGACAACATCCCCTTCCCCACCCCCATCTCCACATGGAGATTGCAGTCAGGGCTGGGAGCTGTTTCCTTTGTTTGCCTTTGTACCTATGAGCTTTTTCAGCTGTGACACATTTTCCAGTCTCTGATAATCTCTTAGTATAGACACAGAGGTCACCTGTGATGAGACACAACCCGCCCTTCCTCTGCCTTTCCTCTTTGGTGGTGAACGGATGCTGTGGCAGGGAGATACACAGACAGGCTATCTGGGTTCAAAGCCATATTGAAAAGGGGTTTGCTGGGGAAGCCTGTGCCCCATAGGAGCAGGTCAGATGCTGACCATCCATAGAACAATAGTCTGTGTCCTACGGTGACTTGTGGAAAGATGGGGGTGTTTTGGGTGTGGAACGTGGTGCAGCAGAATTAAGTCAAGTCTGAGGTGTTGCCTGCTACAAGTGAGCCTTTTCACACCACAGAGGTGAGGAGCTGGTTCAGTGTGGAGGGTACTTGCAGCCAGACCTGAGGACCTTAATTGGATTCCTGGAACCCACAGGGTAGAAAGAACTGACCCCAGGAAGTTGTCCTCTGACCTCCACATATATGCAGTAGTGCAAGCATGCCTCCACCACTTGGAAATAATTTTTTTAAAAATGTAAAAACTTTTCTTTCTTCCCTTTCTGCTAGAGGCCATTTGTTTGCAATTATGAGGGCTGTGGCAAGGCCTTCATCAGGGATTACCATCTGAGTCGGCACGTCCTGATTCACACCGGAGAGAAGCCATTTGTGTGAGTAGGGGGCAGAGCAGGCCACTGGAGTAGGTTCTAGTTGGCACGTAGCCCTGGCAGGTGATTGCCGATTCATAGGGTGAAGAATAGGGGGTGGGCTGGTGAGATGGCATAGCGGGTAAAAGGCCTTGCCACCAAGCTTGACAGCCTGAGTTTGATCCTCAGAAGTGTTGTCTATGGCTCAGACTGGCTCTCCTGTCACGAGCCGGTTACTGTATGACAGTGTGCTCAGATTATATGAAGCCCATGTCCCTTACTGTCATGGAATGGCCTCTGCTGCTCTCTTTAATCTTCCCCTGTATGCCTGGCTTTTAGATAGGAGACTGGTGTGGCAGTGCTTAACAACACTTCTTGCCCCTGGCCCTTCCATTTGGTTCCTTTGAGAACTTGCGGCCCTGTCCTCCTGACCCACGCTTGCTTGTGTTAGTTAGGTGCTGACACATTGGCTTCCTTGTGTCCTGACTGGAATTCAGAAGTAGAGTTGACAGGGGTGGGGTACTCCAGGCTCCTTAGGGACCCGGGCTTCAAATTGGTCTCTGGAGCCCATTCTCATCTTAGGGCTTCAACCCTGTTTGGGGTCCTGCTGTTTCAAGGAGGGCAAGAGACATGTTGTGTGCATTTTAGGCACCATGAGAGTTGACTTTAGCCATGAGGTCTGTTTGCAGGGCAGGGGAGGAGGCTCAGATCAGCCCTCTCATGTGCTCTGTGGCCGCTGCACTCCATCCTCCCATGGTGCCCTCTCATCTCCGGACCCCTTTGCCCGGGTGCACAGTGTGTAAGGAGAATCTTCTCATGCAGTGAGAGAAAAGGGTCCCAGTTCATTGCCCAGGGCCATGAAGTCCTCACAAGGAGCAAAACTCCTTCAAGGCCAAGATTGCTTTTTTTTTTTTTTTTTTTTTTTTTTGGTTTTTTGAGACAGGGTTTCTCTGTATAGCCCTGGCTGTCCTGGAACTCACTCTGTAGACAAGGCTGGCCTCGAACTCAGAAATCCTCCTGCCTCTGCCTCCCAAGTGCTGGGATTAAAGGCGTGCACCACCACTGCCCGGCAAGGCCAAGATTCCAACACAAGCAGAATGAACTGGAGTGGTCTGGTGACATCCCAGAGGGGACAAGTGGCTCACGGTTCTGTGCCAAGAATGTTTTACCTTTAATGACAGTACTGGAGTCAGGCTGTCTTCTTTGTTGAAAATGCAGTTTCTGATGACAGTTCTCACAAAGGAAGGTTATTAGATTCTAAATTAAAGTAGGTGAACCTGAGCACTGCTGGAGCCTGAGCACCAGTCAGGCCTCTGAGGCCAGTGCTTCCCTCCCTTTGCCAGTGTGTGTGGGTCGCTGGCTGGCCCGGTATGCTTTCGCCCAGTATGGAAGTACAAAGCATCCTGTCACAGAGCCCATCCAAGCTGAGGCCTGAGTGACATGGTTTGTTGCTTGGGACTATCATTTTCAGTGTTGTCATCTGACCCTCCCTACCCCAATATACACATGTTTATGTGTGTTGTGTGTGCCTGGTACTTGTCGAGGCCAGAAGAGGGTATCAGATCCTAACTGGAGTTACAGATGGTTACAAGGCACCATGTGGGTGCCAGGAACTCAGCCGGGGGCCTTTCCAAGAGCAGTCAGTGCTGTTAACCATTGAGCCATCTCTCCAGCCCCTAAAACATTTCTCGCCAGGTGTCTTATGTTCTGGTTCATACAATCTCTTGCAGTTGTGCAGATGATGGTTGTAATCAAAAATTCAACACAAAATCAAACTTGAAGAAGCACATAGAACGCAAACATGAAAATCCACACAAACAGTATGTAGTGAGTATGGCTTTATATGTTTCAACTTTCTATTTTTACATTTGCTGCCAAAGCAAGTTTTTGTGAGCCGGATTTTATCTTGCTGGATATATAAAGTCTGGCATTGGCTGTCCTCATTGTTCAAATTGTCAGTTTGCAAACTTACATTACTGGTTGGTGAGCACCCCAGCTGAGTGTCGCTGCTCTTTAGGCTTCTTGAGATGAAGCATTTTCATAGGGACTAAGTAGGTGAAAGCTTATATTCTCTAAGACACATAGGTCCAGAGAGACTTTATTGTTTTATTAAAAACAGGTTTTATGTTGTATGTGCAAGCGTTTTGCCTGCATATATGTCTCTATACCATAAGTATGCTTGATGCCTGTAGAGTCAGAAGAGGGTTCCTGTGGAACTGGAGTTAGACATGGTTGTTAACCACCACTTGGGTGCTGCAATCCAGACCTGGGTCCAGTGCAGAGAAGCAAGTGTTCCTAACCACTGAGCCATCTCTCACAGCCCTCTAAAGGACTTCAGCAACTGCTGGTCCTCTGCCTTTACTAAACTGTGCATTTTTTTTTTTTAACAGTGTAATTTTGAAGGTTGCAAGAAGGCCTTCAAGAAGCACCAGCAGCTGAGAACACATCAGTGCCAGCACACCAGTGAGCCGCTCTTCAGGTCGGTGCTTTGCCAGCACTCTGTGGAGTTCAGAGATCAGGATCCTGAGGGAGCCTCTTGTGTGTGCCCATGGAGACTTGAAAAGTTCTATTCTGTGTCTCTAAAGACCATCTTGCATGTGTGGGGATCCGCTTGTTCAAGCCTTGTAGTTGTGGTTAAAATTAAAGGGAGGCGAGGAACTGCATGTTCAGTTTTATGGTATGCCATCACAAGGACTTTTTTTTTTTCTTTCTTACTATAGAACAGAAATAACAGGGCCCTGCTTGTTCTGAGGGATTCCTGAGTACTCAGAAGAACAGTGGGGGTGGGCCTGCCTGCCTGGGCAGTGTCTTCCTGCACAGTTGGGCTGATGGGGCCTTGCTCCTGGCTCCCGTAGGCTGTCCTTTGCACTGGTGCAGCTGCAGTGACAGTGGTCTCAACCTGCAGGCCCGTGGCCTGTCTGTGCTGCCAGTGCCTGGGACTCTGCACCAACAGCTGTACATTTCTTGTGTTTTTCTGGTGCTGTTCCTCAGCCCCTATGCTGTGTTCTCATCTGACCGTATGCAGCATTATTGGGCAGACCACAGACAACAGCTCTGTCTGGTCCAGTGTAAACCAAGTCAGACAGCCTCCTGAAATCACGTCTAGAGCCACAAGACAGGATATTTCCAGAATTCGGAGAACTTTTAGTTTGATAACACGGACAAAAGATGTGACTTTTTCTCAGAATAGCTTGTTTTGCTTCAAAGCTGGCCAAGTCACTTGTGTTCGTATTTAGGACTGTACTTAATCTTTGTTTTGGTGCCAGGTTTGGTGTGGGAAGAGATGGGCTTTGGTGTGGGAGAGACAGGATCTCAGAATTCTCCACGGCAAGGGCCTGGCTAATGCTTTGTCTGCTACTTTCCCAGGTGTACCCACGAGGGATGTGGGAAGCACTTTGCCTCCCCCAGCAGGCTAAAACGGCACGGGAAGGTTCACGAGGGTATGTAGATGGGGACTGTGCCAGCAGTGCGGAGCACACCACTGGGAGTCAGCTGGGTCTGTTCTGTGGTCACACTGAGTAGACAGAGCTGTGTGGTTAAGAGCCTACTCTGTTATTTGAGTGTTGGCCTCTCATCCCGAGAGATACTGTGCTGTGTGGTCTGCCGCTGTCCTCCTTGCCATGTACACACGGTAGTGAACTGTTCCTGAGCACCTGGTTGTGTGCCACTCAAGTGTGCAAAAGTTTGGATAGCAGCTTTCAGAGCAGGGCTCACTGGAACCCACTCCATTGTACCCAGCAGAGTGGCACACTTCTGAGAGGAGGGTGAGCACATGGCACGTGCTTTTTTGGCTGTCATCAGGGCTTTCCCTGGGCCTTCAGAACCGGCAATGGATAATTTGTTTTGTTTCTGTTTTTGAACAGGCTACCTGTGTCAAAAGGGATGTTCCTTTGTGGGGAAAACATGGACAGAGCTTCTGAAACACATGAGAGAAGCCCATAAAGGTAAAGTAGACAGGAACTGTGAAGAGCATGAGCATGGGCCTGGGCAGCTGACAGTGTGCTTTGAGAGAGTGAAATGCACGCCTGTGCTGTAAAGGAAGGGGTTCTGCATCGAGTTCCATGTGGTGTTGGCTTCCTGAGCTGCGACAGGCCTCAGCCGGTGGCGCTGTGCCTGGGCTTTTGTGAAGCCCTGCAGGACTTGGCAGAGGCTGTTGTGTCAAAGGACAAAGGCGGATGCCATGGGGGCATCATTTCTCGTGCCTGGTCATCATGTCAAGGACGCCTGCCCCTTAACAGGTGAGGGAGGAATCAGGAAGTGGGGGCCATGAGTGAACGGGAGGGACCCAAAGCCAGCAGAGCAGTTGAGACAAGCTGACATTTCCTCTCAAGTCCCTGGTTTGTCGTCACAGGACTAGACATGTTACTCATGTGTTTGGGTAACAGACAGGGAAGTTGGCTAAACGTGTGTCTCTCTGCACAGAAGAAGTAACCTGCACAGTCTGTCAGAAGATGTTCAAGCGTAAAGATTACCTTAAGCAGCACATGAAGACTCACGCTCAGGAAAGGGAGGTATACCGCTGTCCGCGGGAAGGCTGTGCAAGAACCTACACAACTGTGTTCAACCTGCAGAGCCACATTCTCTCCTTCCACGAGGAACAGCGCCCATTTGTGTGTGAGCACACCGGCTGCGGCAAGACATTTGCAATGAAAGTGAGTGTCTCCCATTCCAGGCTGGTGTGTTCATGTCCAGCCTGCAGATCCTCCAGGTTGACAAGACCAGTTCTCAGTGAGAATAGAGAACTTATTGGAAATGTAGTACCCCAGGTTCCCACTCTGAGCCAACTGGGCCAGGAGCCCTGGGGTTGGAAGCTAAAAAGGTCTATTTTACAAGCACTCTAGGGCAGTGGTTCTCAACTTTCCTAATACCAGGACCTAGTAACAGTTTCTCATGTTGTAGGGACCTCCAACCATAAAACTACTTAGTTGCTACTTCATAACTATAATTTTGCTACTGGTATGAATCAAAAATATGATATTCAGGATATCTGGTATATGACCCCAGGGGAGTCACAACTAACAGGTTGAGAACCACTCCTCTAGGGGATTCTGGCCATGCTGAGTGGGAGAGCCTGAGACCTGTATTTCTACGTAGCTGATACTCTAAGGTGATTCGGGATTCTGACCATCACCTAGGGCCTGGGAGAGAAGGTGGGTAGCACAAATGGGCAGCCTCTAGACTCTGGAATCTTGGCATGATTCTCGGGTCAGGCGGCAACATGGTTCCTAATGGGGAACCTAGCTGGTGTCTAAAGAGCTCTTACTGTAGATTACAAAGTCACTGAACATAACCCAGACCAGCCCAAACGCACCATGATCACCACTGTCGTCATAGCCAGCAGAGCAGAGGCCGGATTTCCCCCTGTCGTTAGGAGCGCAGCTGAGGTAGATTCAGTTTAAGCAAGAATAAGCTTGGACGTTCAAGCACAGCACGCTCTCCCTTCTCTGAACGGTCTATGAGTCAGTGGATTGGGATGGAGTAAATTCCTAGCGTGTCAGCAGACTGACAGTCACTCTGCTAAGGAGTTGGCTCTGGTCAGGGAGCTGGGTGAAGGTCAAATTCACTACACAAGAGAAAGGCAGCTGGTAGTTTATTACTGCTCACTGTACCACTGCATTTTAACCATAGCAGACACCAAGGGTTTTTACTGAACTGGAGTACGGGTGGTTGTGAGCCACCATGCAGGTGCTGGGAACTGAACCCATGCCCTCAAGAGCCGCACGTGCTCTAAGCACTGAGCCACCTCTCCAGGCCCAGAGCAAGCCTCTTTCTTTCCCTTGCACTGCAGCAAAGTCTCCTGAGGCACAGTGTTGTGCACGATCCCGACAGGAAGAGGATGAAACTCAAAGTAAGTGGCAGGCGCCTGGGCCAGCGCTCAGCTGTAAGGCCTGCGTGGCGTCTGTCCATCCACCCCGCCCCTGTCCTGTGTGCCCATGCCTGCTGAGGGGGTGACTCCCATCGGCTGATCTGTGAAACACAGGTAATTCTGAGGGGGAGCTCAGTTGTCTGTTTCCCTTATTCCCAAAGGTAAGACCACCTCGGGAGAGACGCAGCTTGGCCTCTCGCCTCAGTGGGTACTTCCCTCCTAAGAGGAAACAAAAGCCAGACTGCTCCTTGCCTAACAGCACAGAGTCCAGCAGCAGTCCAGAGGACAAGATGCCCCCGCCAGCGGCATTACTCACTGTCTGCTAGGCGGGAAGGACTTCAGAGCAGCCAGGAGAGGCTTCTGGAGATGCCTGCACTTTGTCTTAGTAAAATCACTGACACGAAACATCTGACTCGTTGCTGTTTCTGTCGTCTTTGTTCAGAGTGTCTTTTCTGTGGCTCTCTTGGGATTCTCTGTATGCCTTCTCTTCTTTCTTGCTCAAATGACGAAAAACACACATGAAGGCAGTCCCTCCTCTAATGGCTTTCGGTCTGCTTAAGAAGGTTGCTATTCCAGGCATAGTCTGGAGAATCTGATTAAAAGTCTCCTCCTGCAAAGGACAACAGTGAATGATCAATTTGAACCAGGTGTTTCTGACGCTTAGCGCTGCTGTGATAGGCTGGTCTGATCCGACATTTTCCTGTGTGACTAGCAACCACACAGGAACTCCATGCTCAACTAACACTGATGAACTTAATCTCCACTCTGTCACAGCACTGAGGGTCTACATGCACAGGCTTCCCCAAAATCAAACACTAGGTTTGGCTCTTGGCAAAGTGCCTTTCTTGTTCTGAAGAGAGGGAGGCAAATCCCACCTGGACTCCCAAAAGCCTGGACTGGTTGAGCTGTGCCCTGCAAGTACGTGATGCAAACAGCTGGGGTTGGAACCCTCTATATCGGTGCTGCCTTTGGTGGTGATAAAGTGAGCTAGGTCTAAACACCAACAGCATGTCAACTCCAGGGATTCTAACTAGTAAAGCTCTCCATGTGTATGGAAGAGAGGCCTGTGAACCAGCTACCTTTTCTATTTTAACTGTTAGCCATACAGCAGTTCTTAATATAGAGTAACTTACAGCTTTTTTATTGCTTTTTTCTAAAGACGACATGTGTGGGTGTTCTGCCTGCGCTTATGTATGTGCACCACATGTGCCGTCTCCACAGGGTCCAGAAGATGTCAGATTCCCCAGAAACTGGACTTATAGACTGTTGTGAGCTGCCATGTGCTTGCTAGGACCTGAACCTGGGTCCTTGCTAAGGGCAGTCAGTGCTCTAACTACTGAGCAATCTCTCTAGCCCCCAGAGCAGTGGCAAATCTAATGGAAAACACACTAAACACAGTATGACGTCAGGAAGCTGGGAGCATTCTGCATAGTAGACTTGTCACTTCTTTGCCTGTAGTCTTTCCAGTTTTCCTACAGGTTTATTTTTGCATTAGAAACTAGGTGGCCCCGCAGGTGCTCACACCTACTTACCATCTCGTTCCCTGGCTGCTCTGCATCTTTTCTCTTCTTTATTGTGACCTGAACATGGTATTTTTTCTCAATCCACTGCTGAATCTGTTTACTCTTGGTGTACAAATCATGCTGTCCAATATTTGAAGAAAAAACGAGCTCCTTTGTCATAGTTGGTCCTGGTTGGGAACAGTAAAGTTGAGTGCTCAGCGGTCTGTTTCCTACTCTCCTTTGAAACCTCAACTTCCGCCCACAGATGGTAAGATCTGATGCCTGATAGGCCACCAGAGCCCTCGCTCAATTTCACCCCCAGGGACTGACCATCAGCTGTTTTCTTTTTAAATTGGGGAGACAGGCATAAAGCCTTGTTTTTAACGTGCTAAATATTTAAAACTTGCTAAAGTTGTGGGTGTGCTTGTGAGTGCAGGCTTGTGGGGGGATGGGGATGGGGTCAGGCCAACCCTGAGTGTTGGTCCTTACCTTCTACCTTGTTTTTACACTGTACCCCCTCATGTCTCCCCAAAGGACCAGGCTTGGTGTACCCACACCGGCTGCTGAGACTGGCTCTTCCTTGGGTCTGGGGCTTTAAACTCACACTTGTGCACACGCCCATGGAACCCTCCCCCAGGCCCTGTGTTAGATATAGCTATAAATCTGAGAGAAACAATGGGGCACAAGTAGGCAACTTACAGAAGTGCCTCATAGGGCAACATTAAAACGAGCAGGGACTCCTCACTGTCAGTGTGACAGTGTGACAGTACCGAGAACACAGAGGAGCCTCGGCGGATACTGCAGCTGGCAGCCTGGTCCATTTAAGTCCATAGAACCCAGAGTTGTTCATAAAGAATGAACAACTGGGAAGAGGTCCATACCACGGAGATAGATTAACAGATTAGATCCACTCCTATTAGTTGCCAGGGGAATTATAATAATTTGCCCATAACTATCCTATAAATATGGGTAGATCTTGAAAACAATGCACCATTTTTTTTAAAGCAATCTGCATACTGTTTCTGAACATAAGTCACATTAACATCGGCAAAAGTCCATGAGAGCACACAGGAATATCTGCAGGGAGGGACTTCAGCTTTTCTGTAATGTTCAGATTTTAAATCTGAATCAAAGCCAGTTAACTGATTTTGGATGATAGTTAACAACTGTTTATTACCTTTTCTTATAGGCCTTTAGATTAAAACATTCTCAGTACCCCCTTGCTTCCCACCAGTTGACTCTGGGCCTCCATCAGAATGAAGGAAAACCTCCCAGACATTAGCCCTTCAAGGTCTCCAGGTTCTCCAGTCTGCTCAATATTTTCTGGCTGTGCCATGGTTAGTTTCCTCTGAATGCCTGTTTTCTGGTCAGCATTCCTGTGGTGGTATAAACAGGTTTTCTTTCCTCACAGCACACGGCCTCATACAGTGAGGCAAGTGCCCCAATCCTTGTCACACTATGAAGGCCATAAATCAGTCTTCCACAACTGGGAGCTACCAAAAGCCAACTCATCTTAGTACCCAGTTCCTGGCCTCCGAGTGGCTTCCGTGACAAGTGCCTGGGAAGGTGACTGGCCACGTACAGAGGGAAGAGGTGCTCTGTGACTTACAAGATGCTTAAAAAGCAGAGTGACAGGAAGAGGGTTAGATCTGGTAGATGTCTCTCCATCACTTCACTGCCCCATCAGCCACGAGGCTCAACACTGAATTTGGAGCCAAGGCTACAAGATGGGAAGATGACTTCTCATCACTCTGGCCTGCTTACCTTCTCCCTACTTTACAGTTTTAAAAGAGATGATGAACACTGGACGTCAGAAACGAAGGGAAAGGATGGAAGTGAGGGATGGAGGAGGAACTGCCCCAGGAGTGATGGTGAAACCAGATGCAAGGGTTGCCAATTTCTCCTGTCCATGATACCCCAGCAAACATGAAAGTTGAGTGGTGCTGGGTCGTTCAGAAGCAGTGGCTCTCACCCTTCCCTAATGCTGCAACCCTTTAACACAGTTCCTCATGTTGTGGTGACCCCTAGTCATAAGATTATGTTGTTGCTACTTCATAACTGTAATTTTGCTACTGTTATGAATCATAAATATCTGAATACCACCCTGTGATAGGGTCATCCACCCCTCAAAGAGTTCACAACCCACAGGTTGAGAACCACTGTTCCAAAGGATTCAAGGCATGAACACCAGAGCACCTACCAGTTTTGGGCTTGACCTTTTCCTGTTCCCGGAGCTTTAGCCGTTCCTGGTGGATCTGCGTTCCGGTCATGAGCTGGTACTCGGGTGGCTCTGAGCTGGTGTTCCTCTGCACCAGCCTCAAGTCTGTCTTGTCCATGAGTCTGATCACGTCCGCTCGGTGCATCATCCCCAGGTCGATGCCCTTCTCATCCAGGACTCGGATAACTCGCTCACTAATCTTCCTTCCGGTGTTAGAAAAAGCATCCCTTCTTTTCTGTTTCCTCTCACCCTGGGGGTCCCCAGCAGTACTAAAACCCTTTGCAGAAATCAGGCACAACAGTTTTGGGGTGGACGCAGTCAGGGACAGCTGTGCTGGGTCTGGCTTCACGGTGTGTCTTCGGAAACATCTTCCGATTAAGTTATTGTCAATCTTTATGGTTGGTAGTGTCAACCTCTTCAGAAGAACAGCCATTCTGACAAAAGTAAGGAGGAAGGTTTATTACAACGCAATCACTGATGCCGATGGTCTGCTAGGATGCTGCTGAGGGTGGCAGACAGACCACCAGATCCACGTGCAGGAAGGTGACACAGAGACCTGCACTTTGGCTAGCAACATCCCTAGTGCAGCTGGAGATCAGACTGAGCAGCTGGCAGGCTACTTTGATCTCTTTTTCTTCCACATTCATGACATCTATTTGCTCCTAGACACTACAGTGCCAGCTCCAAAAGCTAAGTTTATCTGGGGCTTTGTTTATGAGGATGTAGTAGAAAGGCCATTTCAGGGGCTGCAGAGATGGCTCAGAGGTTAAGAGGCCTCTACTCTCCCAAAGGATTAGATTCCCAGCACCCACATGGTGTCCGTATCTTCAACTGTAACTCTAATTCCGAGGGATCTGACACAGTCTTCCTGCCTGGGAGGGGACTGCACGAATGTGGTGCACAGATACACATGCACTGCGATAAGTACTTGTAAAATAAAAGAAACTAAAAAAAAAATTAATGACACTTCGATGTTTTAAAAATGCTTCCTTACTACAATAAAACAATAAAAAGTGTTTCTCACATTTCTCATTGTGCTTCTGTTCACACCTTTAATCCCAGCACTCTGGAAAGGCAGGGGTGGAAGGCTCTCTGAGTTTCAGGCCAGCCTGGTCTACACAGTGAACCCTATCTCAGATGAAAAAAAAATCACAAATTCATAATTATTTATTATTCAGAATTCCCTACTAGGGGGCCTGTGGATTTGGGTCCGTGGTAGAGCGTTTGCCTAACACATGTAAGGCCCTTGGTTTAATCCTCAGAGCAACAGCCTTGACAAATCTTTCTGTAGAAGACAGTGAAACAAACAGCACGTGTTGAAACTGGTTTCACCCTCTAGCTACAACCAGCCATGATCTGTTCCCAAGTGGACAGCAGGTCACCAGCAAACACCATGGTGCCTGCTCTTCTGTCTGTCTCACGATTATAGGCTGGACCTTACTGATACTCCCTCCTATATCAGATACCTGGTTTCCAGGTCTCCCTGAGAGTATTATAGTTTTGTTTGATGGTGATACTTCATTTACAGTTTGGCAGCATGAAGGGGCTCCCTCCAGCCAGTTGTATAATTTAAACATTAAGGAAAATGGCTGTAATTCTCTTCAACATGCTGGATATGCAAACATCTATTAGGACGCTAATTGGCACTGTGTGTCACTGTCATACCCTGGCTCCATTGAAAACTGGTAAATTCATCATTAAACAGAAAGAGCTGATCAGTTATTCTGTTGTTTTTAGGAAAAACTGCCCATCTATATTGATGAGGAAAAACTCTCCTTCCTAGCATGGAGATGATGTTGATAACCACCACCACCATTTTGCCACCAATGAAAATGCTCATTTAGTCAATAATTGAACGCCTTCAGGTACAAGGCTGATGCCAGAGGGTCACCTACACACTGCGTCCAGATCAAATACGTAAAAGCACTTTGCTGGGGAATAAGCTGGCTGTCACTCATGGTCAGAGTGGCACTGCCACCAGAGGAAACACATGACACCCGGGCACGCCTCCTCTGATTCGAAGCTGCTGCAAATACCCAGAGCCTTCACAATGCAGCCTTGCCCTGAGGGATTCCAAACTGGCCGCCTCTCCACAAGCTTCTAGAACAAGGCTGGACCCAGAGAGGAATGACCAGAGGACATCACAGGGAAGTGATCTCACAAACCAGGCTGTGAGACAAGACACTAGCTTGGTGAGAATGAAAAGGGAAGATGGGTTGTTTTTGAATAAAAAGATAGGGAAATTACAAAATGTAATCTTTGAGAAAAATCCTCCAAAGAGGTACCCAGGGGAAATAAGAATGCAGATTAGGTATTGAGAACTAGCAAGAAGTGCCGTCAGTTTTCTTAGTGTGAGAAGAAAATTCTCAGGAAACAAGACCTGACGTATTTAGGATCATGATATGTTCCTTCTGAAACGGCTCAGCTGCAAACAGGAGTTAGAAAGTGTGATTATGACAACATTTACTGAATCTGAAGAACTAACATGGGTGTTAGTTCTTCATCTCTTCATTCTTTGCTTTGTTCAAAGAAAACAAACAAGAACTGAGAGCCCAGAGGAGAAGTAGCTCAGTGGTCATGTCACTGTGGTGATTCCAGCCTCCAGTGTCCCTGTGTCATCCTACTGAACTGAACGGACATGCTGGCTTTGTGCATTATCCTGGTTCTCTGTCAACCTCACAGATGCTAGAGTCATCTGGGCAAGTCTATGGAGCATTCTCTTTAGTAATGATTAATGTAGTAGGAGGTCCAACCCACTGGGCACTCCGATTCCTGAGTGGTATGAAAACGCAGGCTGAGAAGCCACGGGGAGCCGGCCAGTGAGCAGTGGTCCTCCACAGTCTTGCTTTGGTTTCTGCCTCCAGGTTCCTGCCCTGACTTCCCTCAATGATGAATTATGATTTGGACCTGCAAGCCCTTTCCTTTCCAAACACTCTGCTTTTGGGTTATGGTGTTTTCTCACAGCAATAGAAAGCAAACTGGGGCATGCATATTAATATGTATGTATACACATACATACCTTTAGTTTCACAGCCTGTGTATAAATGAACTACAAATATGGATTTTACAAATGTAAAATTCTGAAGACTTTCCTAACACTTATACTTATTTCTCTATTGGCTTTTGGTCAAACGAAAATCTCAAAGGTTCTCATTGTCACAAACAACAGTGAGTACAGATTACACGCATTTTGGTAATTCTCAGTTAAGGTTTTTGGAAACAAGAGGCCTGCCAGCATCATTCGGGGTTTCTTTCAGCATACAGGCATCCTCTGCTTTTCTGTGAAGTGTCACTGAACTGGGAACTCAGTAGAGTCTCCTTCGCTTCCTCTGCTAGAGGTTGGTATGAGGCTGAGCAAACCAGCACCACATAAAGATGCTGAGCGCAAGACAATTGGGGTAAGCTGGGCTCCTTCTTCCTTCCAAGGCCACAGTATTATAGAAGCCACATTTCTCAGTTACTTCAAATGCATGCATTTGTAGTATGAGATGTGTGTTTCTGATTGACAGCTAGCTACTCAGACCCTACTGAAATCATGCTGTGCTACATGAATCTGCCTGGAAGCTAGCAGCTGACCCCGCACTGAAGAGACACTGGACCCAGAGGAGCGTGGGCACCTCTGAGAAAGTACAATTCTCCCAGAATGATGAGCAACAGAATGTCAACTTCTATTGTTTTTAGTAACTCGTATTAACAGTTACAGAGAATTCCCTCAGGCCTCTTCCCAGTCAATCTACCCCAACTCTGAACAGCCACTATCCTGACTTTTACCTCACCATTGTCTGTTCCAAGAGAGCATGTTTCCTCTGTCATAGGCTTCGTCTCTGTGGCTGTGGCACTGGGTCATAGCTTTCCGTTTCCGAGGAGTGCACCTCTGTGAAGACTATGCTGCACTCTGCAGAATGTACTTTTATTATCAACAAATGCTGGAGCGGCTGGGGCTGGGATCTCATGGGTAAAGCTGGCACGCAGGTTCTTATGCCTAAAAGAGTGTCTGATGACCGTGTGACACTCACACTGTCCTTATGATCCACCATATTCTTTATGAGGCAGCGATGAGGGTTTGCAACAAACCTTGCTAGAAAACACAACTTAAATGTGTCTTAGTATCTAGTTTCTTTCTTCCTTCTCCCCCCCCTCTCCAAGACAAGGTTTCTCTGTGTATAACTGGCTGTCCTGGAACTCGCACTGTAGATCAGGCTGCCCTAGAACTTGGAGATCTCCAGGCCTCTGCCTTCCAAGTGGTGGAATAAAATAAAGGTGTTTGCTACCACCCAGCAGTATCCAGTATCTAGCTGTGTAACTGAATGTGGTGGCTGAGAGTGAACTGCATCAGAATGAGCAGGGACCAGAAGTTAATTCACAACCCCCCATATGACAACCCAGGGTGCTCCCCATGTTGCAGCTTGCAGCTCCACTGAAGCTTCCACGTTGAACTTGCCTGGTCTCCTCAAAACCCACAACACGCTCACTCCATGCCTGCTTTGCTGTCAGAGAACACTGCACCAGCAAATGCCAACTGCCAGAAACTCCTCAATTCAGACTCAAGGCTACAGAAGAATATCAACTGCAGTTTTTAATGGTTCCCCCAGGCTTCTGCTCTTACAATTTTTAATACTTTTCTGCTAGCATTCTTCAGTATGAACCCAATTAGAGTACTCTAAGCTGTAACATATTACGATGTTTCATTCTAAAAATTCCATTTGTGTCCCTGACTTGAGTTTCCTAATAAAATATCAACGACAACAACAATAATAATAAATAATGAATTATGGCTTGTGATTAGGACAGGATTTCCAATAATTTCTGAAGTTATCCTAAACACACTATTTATCAACACAGCCCTAAGAATTATAAAACTGTACCAGTCAACTCTGAAAAGTCTTGACTATGCCCACAGTCCACATTATCTAATATTAAGCAAAGATTCAGGGCCAGCGAAATAGCTCGGTAAGTGAGGGTGCTTGTGTGTGTGACTAGTCTGTTTGATGTGTCTGGGTGCCCATGCCAGGGTGCCATTGTAGAGGTCAAAGGACAACCTTGTGGAATTAGTTCTGTCCTTCCACCTTTAGATTCCAAGCACTGAACTGTTTCACTCTGTTTTGCCTATTAAGTCATCTTTTCAACCCAATGATAGTGATTTTTTTTTTTTTCTCTTTGAGACAGGATCTCACTAAGTAGACCAGGCTGGCCTACAATTCACAAGAGATCAGCCTGCCTCTGCCTGAAGGGGTAAGGCTAAAGCACTCGCACCACACCTGGCCTGACACTTATTTCACCATTTGTTTCTTCTCGTTTTTTTCTCTGAATCGTTACACTTCATAGTCACAAGCTCATACTGACACCTATTCACTCCAGAAGGAATGGGTTCTAGTAGATTCCATATTTTGCGAAAATAACTTTGGCTTCATCCTATGACTGAATTCGCTCACCCTTAATTCCGGAAGGAGTTTCAAAAGTCCTGATACGGTGGTGCACGCCTTTAATCGCAGCACTTCGGAGGTGGAGGCAGGTGGATTTCTATAGGTTTGACGTCAGACTGCTCTACACAGTGCGTTTCAGGACAGCCAGAGCTACATAGTGAGATTCTGTTTCATTTTCTTTTTTGGGGGGTGGGGTGGGGGTAGGGTTGGTTTTTCATAAAAGGGTTTCTCTGTGTAGCCCTGGCTGTCCTGGAACTCACTAGGTAGACCAGGCTGACCTTGAACTCAGAAATCCGCCTGTCTCTGCCTCCCAAGTGCTGGGATTAAAGGCGTGTACCACCACTGACCGGCGAGAGACCCTGTTTCAAAAGCATCAAAAATTAAAGGAAAAAAAAACCTCATACCCTAACAAGGGGTCCGCAGCAGACGAGCCCACCCGGAGGCCACGCCCACCACGATACCAGTTGTCCTTTGCCCCGCCATGCCCCCAAATCTGTAGAAGCGCCGTGCGTGCGCACATCAACAGCGAAACTGGCTAGGGATTGCTAGGCAGTGGCTCTCGGGAGCTCGGCAACTAGGCTCGACCCCGAAGCCTGGTGCTGCTGCCACCCCACGTCCACGGAGGGCTCTCTGCACAGACCGTTCCCAGGACATGTCCGACCACCTCAGCCCCGTCGCCAAGCCATCACCTTAAAGTTATCTGGGTCGCGGTGAGCAGGAAGAACTAGCACGTCCGTACACGGACTCCGCCGAAGGACCGTGTCGGCTTCCGTAGCAGGCGGAACTTCCTGAGTCTTTTAAAGGGAGGTTGCAGCTGAGGTCTGCGGTTTCCGCTAGTGGAATAAAGTCCGCCGACCAAAAAAAAAAAAAAAAAAAAAAAAAAAAGAATTGAAGAATTTGCTTCTTGCCTGCTGCTCCAAAGGCGAAGTGAACGCTAAAATGTAGAATCCCTGGAACAGTCACTGCAGCGCTTCCACCAGTTACATTAACACCAACCTTCTACAGTGCTTCATAAATGTCTAGACAACTGCTGTGCAGTATTACAATTTTGCCACCTGCGGATGAGCAGATCTGGCTAGTGAAAGCTCTGGCTCGGTAGCAGGGTGCAAGCCTCCCTCCCAAGACTGCTCTCTTCTGAAAAAAAGTGATGGATTCAAGTTCGAGTGCTGTCGGAACTGGGAGAAATCAGAACAGATGTCCACACGTGGGATGATTGACTGCATTGCCCAGAGTCGGACAAGAGGGTAGTTGGAAACTTCAAGCCCCTGGGTGTTGCATTTGCTGGCTGTTGGGGCCCCGCACCCATGTTACCAGGCCTTTAACTGTCCCCTCCTTTGACGTTAAATCCTTGTTTTTCCCTGTTCTTCAACAGGGAATTCCTTAGTGAAGCCGCCGAATGTGGAAGTTCCGTCTATGAAAAGAAGCCTAACATTTACAGACTATGTGTCTATAATATATAATTAAAGAGCACGGAAACATCTTTCTTACTTAATCCTCATCATATAACTCAATCAGGGCAGTATCCGATGACAACTATTGTTGGTGCATCAGAATAACATCCTTTTATTGCAGATGAGGAACCTAGGTCATCCTTCACTAGCTTTAGAGCCACATCCAAGTCTCCCTTTCCTCATCAGATCTCAGCTTCTGGCTCCTGAGCCTTGTATCTGTGATATGGCAAAAGTTGAAGCAATTCTGTATGACCCAAAAGCCAGCGCTGGGCTCTGCATGTTAGCCATTTCTAAGTGAAATGAAGAATTACAGATGCTTTCTACTCTGCCAGAATTAGTCCTCGATGGGAAGATAGATGCATAGTGTGGCGTTAGAGGGTGGAGCCCACCCCCTGGGGAGACAGGTCCAAATGGTTGTGAATGCCCACATTGGCGATAATGTTTCCGTAAGCACTGTAGTTCTAAGCACTTAACATGTATTGAGTTAGTTTAATCCTCAAGACATGAGCTACTGCCATCTTTACCCATTTTATAGATGGGGAGACTGAAACTTGAAGAACTTATACGACTTCTCCCATCATTATGCCATTAACAGAATCAAGAAGGCTGGAGGGAGAGCTCAGTGGTTAAGAGAGTATCGCTCTTTCAGAGGGGCTGGGTTCTCTCCCCAGCACTCACAACTGCAGAAACTCCAGCTCCAAGAACCCCAGTGTCTTCTTACTACCTGAGAGGCACTTGTATGCATGTGGTGTACGTACAGAGATACAGGTACACATATACACACATAAATATAATTTAAAATGTCTTTAAGAAGATTTTAAAAGGAGAAAAAGAATGAAGTGGACTGGGGAAATAGTTCAGTGACATATTGTCTTAGTTAGGGTTTTCATTCCTGTGAAGATACACCATGACCAAGGCAGTTCTTATAAGGGACAACATTTAATTGGAGCTGGCCGA